TTCTAGTCTCTATCTCCCTTCTGCTTCTCAGGCACCTGCCAGAGGCTATTAGTTCTTAGACCACCCGCCCCAGACGTAACAGGGGAAACAAGGCTATAATTATACACAAGGGGCCTGAAAGGACCAGGAATAGAGGGATGTCCCCAACCTATCCTGGGGAGGGACATCAGCCCGATACGAGGAAGGCACGGGCCCTGCAAACGGCATCTCCAAAAGGAGAGGGGGCATAAACGTGAGGACTTGAGTGCAAAGGTCTAGTCAAGGTGCAGCAGAGACTAGATCTGAAAGAACAGGAGAGGAAGGCAGAGGACTAGGAGGCCATGAAATGCTGGCCTCTATCCTGAACACCAGGGCAGCAAGCTAGTAGTCATTTACCTGGTCCCAACACACTGGTGAGTTCTTTCCCAGAAAGATGAACACGCTCCCTTGAGGGCTGTTATGGAAATTATGGTCCTAAAATAGTGCCCACCATGACATCTGGCCCAAACGGGAGGACAAACCCCAGACATGCTGTGCTGGTGGAAATACCTGGTCATGCCATCAGGACCTGCATTTCAGGAGCCTGCTACAGGAAGCCCAGCATTCCAAGTCTCCATAGACTTTCTGGGACCCTGCCTGCCCTAAAGGTCTCTGTTTCCCTGCACTAAATTAAGGGGTAAGAGGAGAGCAGATGAGGTCTAAAGTCTTGCCAACTCAGACCTTCTGTACTCAGTTAGAAATCACTAACGGCTTTTTAATCTACAAATGATCCTTCTAATGGGAACATTGGCCCCTACAAGGGTTATTCCAGAGGTTCGGGGCTTAACATGTTTAGTTTTTCATTAAATACGGTAGAGTCTTGGGAAACAAAGACAAAAAAGTAGGTCTTTTAGGATGTCAGGTTCAATACCCAACAAGGACTGTGACACAAGTGCTTGAAGACCCTAGTGGCCCGCTTTCTCCACCTCCACTTTCTGACCCAGCACATTCAAGAGTACGAGTAGGAGGGGCTGCTATGGCAACACCACCAGCTTGCATATGCGTCACCAAGGAGTCCCCAAAATAGACCCTTGACAATCCATGGGGAGCTAGGTTCCTCTGGGGCACTTACCTGGGCCCCAAGGAGGATGCAAGCCCCATTTTCTGGGATGACAGACACTGAGGTTAAGAATGAGGAAGAGCGGCAGGCCAGGTCTGGCAACACTCTCCAGCTGATCTGGAAGGAACCAAAGGGACCGACCAACCTAGCTAGCCCTCCTCACTGCACGGAGGATCCGAGGCAGTGTAAGAAGCAGATGCAGAGCAAGGTTCCCGTGCAGGCTCAGAATTAATTACTAACTGCTCTAATGAGAACAGGCCCTCACGCTTTCTGCTCCTGTGGGTTGGCACAAGGGTCTCCAGGTTCAACACCATGAGAGGGAAAATCCCTTTGCCTGTCACAGCCCTGTCATTTCACAGACGAAGGGACTAAGAATCAGCAAGAGGCAGTGGCTTGCTGAGGCTCCACTGATTTTCAGAGGTAGAGTAAGGACCACACATACCTAGGCTGCCTCCCAGTCCAAAACTCCCAAAGGAGCCAACACTAGCTCCATACCATGAGTACCTAGGAGTGCCAGAGGCCAAGAAACTCTGCCTAGCGCAGGCTCCTCTCTCTTCTGGGACTCTTTTAAGTCTTCTGAGGCAGACACAGATTAACCCCCACAGGCCAGGACCTGACATTCTCTGTCTCATCTGTCTTTCCTGAGAAGGACATTGGAACTGCAGACCAGACTGGCCCCTCAAAGGCCACAGTCAGACTGCATTTTCCACCTAAACCTGTATGTCTCTTTACACTATTCCTTATGCCCAGGACATCTTTTAAAAATTTTGTGTGTGTATGTGTGTGTGGGTATGTGTGGAGGTCCAAGGAGAACTTTTGCAAGCACTTACATCCCACCACGGGTGATGGGCACTGAACTCGTGAGGTGATCAGGTGTCAAGGCAAACGCCTTTACCCACTGGGCCATCTCACCAGCCCTGTTTGGTGTTCTTACGCGCCTTGCTAATGCCATTTTATCCTTCACAAGCCAGACTGAGCATGGCCTCTCCTCGGAAGCCTCCCCTCATTCCAAGGCGATTTAGTTCCCTCATCCTCCAGACCCACAGTTGCTTCTTCTCTCTCCCTGGTTACTGCTCAGCTCCCTCTGCACATCATCTCAACGTGTGCATACCCCTCTGACCTTGCTTCCTCAGGCATACTGGCTGACACATAAGAGATGCTCAGCCACCGAACTGTGAGTCCATACCCAGGAGAGTCCATTCCAGGAACATATTCCATTTTCATGAAATAAAGTAGAATTTTTAATGATGAGGCCAAGGAAGTTGGCCACTTAGGATACCAGGTTCCCAACACCCTTGAGTTACAACTCAGACCATAACATGACTGCTAAGGACCCCACTGACCCTCTGTCTACAGTGTTGGGACTTCCTAAATGACTTACAAAGAAAAAGTGGGGGGGCTCACTCACAAATCAGTTAACAAAACACTTCCCACTCACCTTAACTCAAACCCTCAGATGCTAATTCTGAGATGTCTGAATCTATTTCTTTTTTGTTGTTTTGGTTTGTTTGCTTGAGATGGTTTTTCTGTGTAGCCTTGCCTATCCTGGAACTCGGAGATCTGCCTGCCTCTGCCTGAGTGCACCACTACACCCAGCTTTGAATCTATTTCAAAACAGGAAAACGAAATCCCCAGAGGCAGTGAACCCATCGGACCCCAGAGAAGAAAGGCAGGAATCCTGGCTTTGGCCTTCTAGTCTGGAACCATGTGGGGATCAGGGTTCACCTGGCTCTACCCACTTGGCACTCAGCCCTCAAGGCAAGCTCTTAACCAGACTGCGTGTCTCTGAGACACTCAGCACATACAGGCAAAGAGGCCTGGGGAAAGCTGCGGAATTACAGGGAAGCCAAAGGCAGGACTTCCTGCCAAGAGGACTTGGGAAGTCCCACTAGTGATTCATTCATTCAACAAATATCTACAGGGTCCCCACTACCTGCCTGCATAATGTTAGACGCTAGGAACACAACACTGAGGAGGACAAATGAGGTCCTGTCACCAAGGGCTGACAATTACCCAAACGGTAAGTACATGCGACAACTAGGTAATGATAAGGACTACAAAAGATCTGGGAACTACAGGATAGGGTGACAATCTGGGTAGGCATGCCAAGATCTGGGAAGGGTAAGCAAGTGCAGAGACCCTGAGAGAAAACTGAATTATGGACAACGATGGAGGATCAGAAAGACCACTACTAGCACATGAATGGTGGCCAGGAGGTTATGAGGTGGTAGGAGGTGTCCAGGAGCCTCATGGGATCTGAAGTTTGAAGTACTTGGGGTAGGGGGGCAATTCATCTAGCCAGACAAAGTTCTGTGAGCTGTTGGTAACCCTATCCACTAAGCTTAGGGGACCTTCCTCAAAAAGCTGGGGAAGGAGACGCCATCCCCATCATGGAGGTAGGAAGCAATCAGCACTCATTTGGCAACTGCATAGCACACATGCTGGTCAGTTCTCAGTGTTGCTGTCCCCACACCTCTCTGGCTTAAGGAGGCCAATAGGCACAGACAGAGATGGATCAGGGTTCTAGTGTGTCTTTCACACCCCTGGACTAGTTCTTTTAGGGACCTCAGTTTCTCATCTGTACTATGAACGTTGGGCCAGACCCAGCGCCAATAAGTAACTGTTGTTTTTGTTTGTTTTGTTTTTCAAGACAGGGTTTCTCTATATAACACTCCAGGCTGTCCTGGAACTCACTTTGTAGACCAGGCTGGCCTCAAACTCACTGAGATCCACCTGCCTCTGCCTCCCAAGTGCTAGGATTAAAGGCGTGCGCCACCACCCAGCTAAGCCAAGTACTTGCTACTGAATTTAGGAGAGGGAGGTTGGAGGTGGGGCAGAATTTCCACACTTGCCACTGAGTCACCTGCTAATAAAGCATTATACTTGGCCCTCCTTGCCAAGCTTAGATGAGCCTTTGGCACAGAGCTAACTCAAAAGTAGTCTCTGAAGAATTGAGGGAGTAAGGACAGGAGTGAGGTTTTCATTCTGTGGACACAGATGATGATGATTGCCAACCCTCAGTGCCAGAGTTACCCCCAACAATCTGACTCCACCTAGCATATTCCCAGGAATGGGGAGCTCCATCTCCACCATGCAGGCTACGCAGTCATCAATAGCTGTTGGGATTTTTCTATTAAAACCCAAACTATGATTCTACCCTTGTCCTAGGCTTTGGGGCCACACAATGTACCAGCTCAGAATTGTACTGCACTACCTCATGCTGGGTTCTGGACCCATAAGCATTCAAGGGCTCTACCATGAAAAGCTCCCATCCAAGGGCAAAGACATGGATTTAACTATAGCTTCCAAGACACAGTCCAAGCCAGTCTTTCAGAGATTAGAAAATACCACAAGCCAGGAGTGGTGGTGCACACCTTTGATCCTAGCACTCAGGAGGAAGGTAGGGTTGCTCTGAGTTCAGGCCAGCCTGGTCTACAGAATGAGTTCCAAGTCAGCCAGCAATGCACAGAGAAACCCTATCTTGAAAAGTCAAAGAAAAAAAAAAAAAAAGCCAAAGACCCCTCTCTCCCAACAAAGGCACACCACCCAAGCTTCAACAAAATAACAGTCACCAAGTTAGCTATGTGGTTGCTCACCCCTCATGGAACTTCCCTTCACAGAATCCATGCTCTCTCCTTCCTTGAACACTGCCACTAACAGGGTGTTCAGTGGGAACCGATCTGAGGCAAACTAGGCCACTAGGGAGTGTCTCCAAGGACCAAGGAGGCACAAGAGGCCTCTGAGAGATGTCAAGATAATATAAAATTTGCTTGCGCACCCTCCCTTACCCCACCTAGTCTTTCACCAAAGTAGATCCCAGAGAGCTAAACTGACTAGTTTGCATTTCACGTTAGTCCTGTGACAATCTGAGTTAAGAATACCCACCCATTGTATTTTCAAGGTTGGACAACATGGAGAAATTCTTCTGCTGTTGACGGTAAGGACCTGATGAAAATCATCTGATTGGGGAGTACAAATCTCCCTGAGTTAAAAAAAAAAAAATCTGTCAAAAACATGTATTTAACAGGCTTCCTGGCCCTGGAAGACAGAGGAGAGCCCAGGAAGGGTATCTCCAAAGGGAGCACAGCAGACAGACAGCAGACCCATCCCATTACCCTGCCATGAGGACATTTTAAAAGCATGAACATAGGCAAGTCACTTCCCTGTTAAGGGCATCGACAGGTACAGCGAAGAAAGAGCATTCTGAGAGAAGACAGTAGATGCTATAGGGAGGTACATGGGGCAGCTCACACTGCTAGCCCCTCGGACGGAAACAGTTCAGTACTTCTCCAGGGGTGGATAACCACACACACAGTCAACTAGGACTAAGGGCAATGTCACTGGATAAACTGTGATGGAGTTCCAGCGTGGGTTACCTGGCAGCCACCAGCACTAGAGAAATGATTTTGACAAATGGCAAGAAATGTCCACGATTTAATATTAAGACAAAACTGGATTCAGAACTGTTATCTATAGCATGTTTCTGACTTTATATAATCCGTACTAATAGAAGTAACCACCAGAAAGCTGATTAACCTTATGTTCTTTCTGATTACCTGTACTTTAAGATTCCCAGAATTCCAAGTTCCCATGGAACTCTCTCTGTTGACCAGACCAGTCTGCCTCCAGGGTGCTCCACTGCCCTGATAAGGAAACCTTGAGTAGCATGCTCTTCCTCCCTCAGTTTCTCCAACTACAGCTAAGGAGTGTGAGACACTTTGCCTTGTATGGAAAAGCTGTGGCGTGATTTTTAATGCTGCCCCTAGTTCACTGAAGGCCTCATTTCTCCCTTGATGGACCTTCAAGATGGAAAACCAAGTCCGGCGGATCTCTGTGAGTTCGAGGCCAGCCTTGTCTACAAAGCAGGTTCCAGGGCAGCCAGAGCCACACACAGAGAAACCCAGGTTTCAAAGAAAGAAAAAAAAAAAAGACGGCGATGACAACGGAAGCCAAGGTTCTCCCACCCCACTTCTAAGTACGTCAGACTCAGGGTTGCTGTTGAGTGGGCTCCACAATCTGGGTTGGCACACATAAGCTGGGGCACACCTGTTCGAGGTAGGCATGTCCCCCATCCAATGGCTGTTTCAGGGCATTGCAAAACCCTTACACCCTGCTCCATCCAGTTACTCCCAGCCAAATTCTGCTCCACCTTGTGAGAAAGAACAGTACTGGGGGCTGAAGAGTGAAATATCACTAATAACCGGGGAGAGTGGGTGGTGTCGCCCTCATCAGCTGGGGGATGGGAAGTGATGTAACACATGTTGCAACACTGGTGAGTACCAGGATGGAGAATGAACCCAGGCTTGACTAGGGTACCAGGCTGCCTGGCTCAGACTGGGAACCCCCATCCCAGACAAAAATGACAGGATGCACAGAGTCGGGTTCCCTCAAAGAGAAGCCAGTTGTGGTGGCACACACCTGCAATCACAGCATTTGGGATGCTGAGGCAGAAGGATTCCGAGTTGGAAGACATCCTGTGCTATGAGGTGAGACCTTTTTACAAACTGCAAGTAGTTGTCTGGGACAGCAATCTGAAGTGGCTAGCCGTCCAGTACAGAGAAGCATGCCTTAGCCAGAGTCCCTTCCTGAAGTCGTCTTTGCCGTGGATACCCCTAGGATGAAAGCCCCCGGGGTGACTGACACTCACCCCATCGCCCAGACCCCTCGCGTGACAGGCTAGATCCTCCATTCTTGTTCTCGCTGCGGGCAGCTTCGGCCCGACGCTCACCCCGCAGGACTCCGGAGTAGGCGGCGATGAGAGTCTTCATGCTGAAGCCGGTGCACGTCACGGCCGTGCAGAAAGCCGCCTCACGTCGCGCCCCTGGCCCATGCCCCGGCCGCCGGGGCCAGGGCTTCGCGCTGAGCTCCGGGAGCCGGGGAACAGCGCCCAGGCCGTGGCGGCAACAGCACGAGAGCCGAGGCAGGCAGCCACTGCCACCCTAGTTAAGCGAAAAGCTAGCGAAGCGCGGCCACGGCGCCTAGCGCCGCCGCGCGCGCACTTTATAACCTCACAACGGGGCGTGTCGTGACGTAATAGGGCGGGGCTGAAGGCTCCGCCTCGGACCATACCATATTCTGGCGGGGGGGTGAGGCTCCCGGGACAAGGCTACGTGCAAAGCACAGGACCACGCTATGGACTGACCGGTGCGGAACAGAGTGCTAGTGAGTATGGCAAAGGGAGCTATAGTACCGGTGCGTGAAAGCACGTCGGGTTGTTCCGGCGGCCGCCTGGTCTTCTTCCCTTTGCCTCCCTTGTAGACATTGTACAGTCCAACAGCTGGAACGTGGGCCGGGAAATTGAGCACGTGCGGGACGATGGGGAGCGTGCGGGTGCCTGTGTTCTTTCTTGTCTCTGCTTTCCTTTGGCTGCAGAAGGACAGGCTTTGCCTGCGGTCAGTAGTGTTGGGATTAGTTAGGTTACAGCTGTGCTTCACAATCACCCCACGTGCCCCTGCCTTTCCTTTTATTAGGAAGATCATGGAGCGATGAGTCTATTGGTAGGGGTTGTGTGTGTGTGTGTGTGTGTGTGTGTGTGTGTGTGTGTGTGTGTGTGTGTGTGTGTGTTTGAAGCCAGTCTATTGGTAGGGTGTGTGTGTGTGTGTGTGTGTGTGTGTGTGTGTGTGTGTGTGTGTGTGTGTGTTTGAAGCCAGCCTGAGCTACACAGTGAGACCCTGTCTCAAAACACCAGGGACAGAGAGGCAATAGAGGCAATACTATGGAACATAGCGATGCACTTTAAGTCTAATCCCCGCCCTCTTTTCCTCAACCTCAGGGGGTTTTTGTTTCTTTCTTGTTGGTTTTTGTTTGTTTGTTTTTTGCTTTATTGAGACAGGGTTTCTCTATGTACCATGGCTGCCCTGGAGAACAGGCTGACTTTGAATTCAAAGATCCACCTGCCTCTGCATCTGAGTGCTGGGATTAAAGGCAAGTGCCACCGCCCTCGGTTTTCAACTTCAATTTTCATGTCTGTAAAATGGGAACAAACAACAGATGCTTTGGGAACTAAGGAGGTGAGGTATGAAAGGCACTCAGCTCGTTACTGGCACTTAAGGTTAGGAACGGCCCACGACTGAGTAGGAGTTTTTACAGAATGAGAGCGTGAGGGAAAGCAGAAGGCCAGGCATAATGTCTGAAGAGTCAGCATGTTTGGAATCATGACTATAGTCCAGGCAACTGTGGGGATGAGGCCGCAGTGACATGGGCTGGAGCTTGATCTTAGAAGATCCTCGAGTGCCTCATCTCTCCAGACCTTGGGGTGGGAGGGACTGGGTTCTTGGAAGACCCTTAATAAAGGAAATGGTAGCAGTGAGGTGAATTCTAAGAGCCTTCTAGACAGCCTGAGAGACAGGAGGGCAGGCTGTGGGAGGGGCTGGGTGAGAGAGGAAGATCCTCAAGCAAAGACAATGCCCTGGTGGGGGGGGCCTGGGGCACACAGCCTTGGGGAGAGTAGAAAAGAAAGGTGAGTTCTAACAGAAGAGGGAAACAGGAAAGGGCATGTAACAAATGCCATTAGTGAAACCTAAAACACTTGCATTTGTTTAACTCCTTCAAAGACGCAGTGGGTGGGTGGGGCACAAATCTCAGGGAGAAAATGCTACCAAACCCTGAGAACTGAGTCAACCCGGAGTAGAAGGAAAATATCCCCGGGTAGAAGGGTCATCGTGTGCTAATGCTCTCTGTTAGAGCTGGAACCTTTTAGGGAAAGGGGGAAGGCTAGTTAGTGGCATCCCACGTCCTCAGGAGACTCGGGATAGACGTATGCTATGTGACTACTGTGAGGGGAGAGCAGGAGCATATTTGGGGGTAAAGAAGAGTTCAGCTATATGGTACTATAGTACCAGTGGATTATTGGAGGCAAGCCTCCTTCCTGCTGGCTGTCTAGCATGCATGAGGCTCTGGGTTCAGAACTTAGCAACACACACACACAATCTCGTGTTGACATGGAAGACCTCAGGTCACTGTATGGCATATTCCTTTTCTCTAGAAGTATCTTCTGTGGAGGAGGCCTTGTGCTGGGACCATGGCTCGATCACTCTAATACTGTGTAATAGGCAGAGATTAAGCTGGAAAGCTCTAGGCCTGAGGTATGGTCTGTCCTCCATCAGTGACTGTCAAATCACTAGTTATTCATCACAAAGGGGAGGTGGGAAGCCAGGCACAGTTGTGCGCACCTGTTACATAATCCAAGCACTTGGCACGTGAGGAGGAAGCCTCCAGGGGATCAAGGTTATCCTTGACTACATAGTGAGTTGGAAGCTAGCCTGAGCTACATGAAACCCTGTCTCGAGAAAGAAATAGGAGGAGGGAGGGAAGGAGGGACATGGAAAGAAAAGGGTGACAGTTCCTATCTTATGGACTGTACTTAAGTACCTATGGATCAACTAAAATAACCTGGAGGGGTGTTACCATTATGCAATGAGAGTAAGATATCATTATCTCAATGATAACAAATGGCAAGACTTTGAGTAAACAAGGCCCATTGGAAACATTCAGATCCCAAGTTTGTGGCCTTCAGCATTTTTCTGTGCACCTTCTCTGGGCCAGGTACTGATTGGAACACCCAGAATCAGACCTAGTCCCTGCCGTTGGGGAGACCCAGCAAAGAGGTGAGACAAGTGGTCAAAGGATGGCCAGGCTGTGGTGCTGGGAACATGAAGGCCAGGCCAAGGTCAGCCCTTCCCTCCTGGCTGCCACTGCCTGGCTCCACTGAGCTTGGACTCTACCCAAGCTCAGGAGCCCTCGGTCTGTGCCCACTGGGAGTCTGACTTACCCAAGAGGCTCAGTGAACAGTGATGTGCAGTAGTCAGGGGATGGGAAATGGGAAAGAGGCAGCAATATTGCTGCTGCTGGATAGGAGATAAGTCTGGTTCTGTTGATCAGGGAGGAAGGGCGTCTATTCCAGTTCCAGTGTGGGCAGAGGGCTAGGAGTGGGACCCTGGCATGGCTAGAAAAAGGAGACAGCAAAGCAGGAAGAAGGGAGGAAGTGAAGTTGAAAAATTGACAGCAGGAGCCGAAACTGGGGGACCTTGTGGTTCAGCACTGGGATCTGGCTTCATCCTGTGTGGTACAGAGCAAGAGAAGGGTGTGAGGTCCTGGATAAGATTAGCCAGATAGACTGGGCTGGCAGTGTATAGGTGGAAGGTTGGGAAACAGAGCCATAAAATCTAGTCCCAAATACCTGGCAGTGCTAGTGCATGCCTTTAATCCCAGCACTTTGGGGGGCAGAGGCAGGCGGATGTCTATGGGTTCGAGGCCAGCCTGGTCTACAGAGTTCCAGGACAGCCAGGGCTAAACAGAAAAACCCTCTATTGAAAAAAAAATCTAATCCCTAGTTTAGACCCTTCATATGTGGGAACACGTACCAAGGGCTACAGAGGAAGTCCAAGAGCTCCCTTAATATCCAGCTTCCATGTCTATGCCCACTGCTTATGTACATTGGTTCAGAATGGATTTAGATGGAAAATCAGACCCACAGTTAGAACATTAAAAAGAAGACATTGCGTGTCTGGAGAGATGGCTCAGCAGTTAAGAGTACTAACTGATCTTCCAGAGGACCCAGGTTCAATTCCCAGCATCCACGTGACAGCCTACAACTGTTCCTAACTACAGTCCCAGTGGGAATCAGACCCACTCTTCTGGCCTCAGTGGTTACCAGGAATGTACATGGTTCACAGGCATACATGAAGGCAAACAGCCATACACGTAAAATTAAAATAAAAAGAGAGAACATTGGTTTGAATTTCTCCTTTGTTGGAAGGTGAGTGTTGGGGTTCACAGCAGCTAGTGACTTCTGGTTTCCTTTCCACACATCTAAACACCCCTAGAACTTTGTGGTAGCCTGCCTGCTCTTCACAAGGACAAACAGGTCAGCCCTAAGATGTGTTCTAGACCTGTGTCATCTTTCCTTCTCTGCCACACATCCCGGCTCACGAACACTTTGAACAACCGGAGACAGGTCAAGCCACATATCCAGGAAGGGCTTGGCCAGGGTGGGCTTTCCTGAGTGTGCAGTCTTCATACTCCACAGTCACTAGTGTCAGGTTCCTCCTCCTCCCGCCACTCAGATGGGGGTCTCTCCGTGTAACAGCCCTGGCTCTCCTGGAACTTGATCTGCAGCTCAGGCTAGCCTTGAACTCGAAGTGCTAGGATCAAAGGCGTGTGTCACCACTGCCTGACAGGAACTGTGTACACGCCCTTGTGTTTCTATGAATCTGTGTACAGACTGGTTGGGAACCTTATCCCCTCCATCACCTAGAAGAGGGGAATAAGTGGGGGTTCACAAGGCATAGAGGATTTGCCTAGCACCCTGCTCTGTGCTAGGCCCCAGCTGATGGCATCCTATCCATCCTCACAACCATTGCAAGAGTGATTACCACTCTGCTCTGCGGTTGGGGTGCCGAGAGGCAAAGAGAAATGGCCAGTGCCACACAGTAAATGTACACAGGCGGAACCTCCCTAATTAAAAATCTGAAGTGCTTCTGGTTCC